ATCTAGCCTAAAAACCATTATAAACACCTAACCTGAATATCAATTTCAATGTTAACTTTTTTTTTGTTTGGCTACTGTTTTGTGGTTCCTCTTTTAGGGATGTGATTTTTTTGTGTATTTTTTTTACAAGTTTAGATGGGATGTTAATAGAAAGGGATTTGGGCATTATGGATAGTATTTGTTGACGTTTTGTTTTAACTGTGAACAAAACTCAGTCTCAGTGGTTGATGGGTGTTTGGGTTGTATGCAATGGCGATGAATATAGGTTTCGATCTTTAGGTTGTTGGGTTGATTTATTTGTTAAAAGGAGATCTCGGTAGGGGTGACTTTTTGTGGGTGAAGTGGGGTTATGAAGATGGATGGTGATAATCAATTGGTTCAGTTACCGTTGATTTCGTAAAGGTTATAGCATTGATTTCACAAGCTTCCTGCCAGACCTTTCACAAGCTTTGATTTTGCTAAAATTTTTTCTAGGTTCTTCGGGGTTTAGGGTTTGGGTCTTCAATTTGGGGTTTACGAAATTTAATTTGTTTAGGGTTTAATTTTTTTTTTAAAGATTTTCTGGCTACATAAGCCATATAAGCCTGCTTATTTGTCATTTTGTGTCTATATGGTGGATTTTTATAGGTTAAAATAGCCAAGTTAACATCTAAACTAACAGAATTAACTCTTAGACCAAATTGATACATGATTTCATAGTTTAGGTGTCTATTTAGCAATTTTTTTTTGTTTAAATACCAAATCCAATAAACTACAATAGTTTAAAGGCCATTTAGGACATTATCCCTTTTGGAAAAGAAATATCTGAATCACAAAAGCTGCAAGATCCTTCTCATCTTTGGATGCATAGTATTGATACTTAAAACAAACATCCACAACATGTTATTATTTAGAATTCAGATTCATAAACCAATAAAATGTTATGATAAATACATATCCACGGATTCGAATGATAAACAAAAGCTTATTTTTTGGATTGACATAGAATCCTTCTTTTAACTCTGTCTTTGCTTTAATTAAATCAACTTTTTTTTCTTGACCATTACATATCAAATAATACAACTCAAATGTTTTTAGGATTTGATAAAAACAAATTTATATAAATACAAAAAGAAAAACACTTTTACCTTAGTCTCGTACTCTTTTGCATATTGCTTAGCCCTGTGTAAATCAACTTGTGGTTATCGACTTTCTTCTTTCTTGTAACTTCAAGCTCTTGCTTTTTGGCAAGCTCCCATTCTTCATTCCTCTTCTGTTTCTTGAAGAGTGACTTAGGATTCATTGCCTTAACTTCTTCACCCATCTCTAGTCAAAATTATATCAAACCAAAGCCAATCAGGAAACAAATTCTACATATCTAATAGTCTTAAAATAGAAACACCCTCAAAACATAAACACAAAATAAAAGAATGAAATGGGTTGTATTAATAAAGCTTATTATTAAATAAAACCTACAAAATCAAAGTATGAAAAAAACTCATTTATTCTAATAAGCAATTATTGGTAAAAAATGAAAATTGAGCTAATACCATGTCATTTCAAGGACTGATAATACAAAACCAATGCAGATATGAACAAATAGTAAAAAAAATTAAAATAAAACAAAAAATAACCAATAAAATTACAGATTTTCGTAAAAAAGAAAAGAAAAGAAAAGAGAAGGATCATACTTTGGAACCATGGCTATTGCGTGCTATTGTTGCTCTATTCCTTTATTGTGGAAACCTTAACAATGTCATTATGTTGGCAAATGATAGCCATGATAATGGAAGAGGTGGTGGCAACAACGTTAACAGAGGAATGAAAATGATGACAAAATGGAGAGAGAAAAAGAAAGGAAAAGAGTTTGAGGGGGTTTTCAACTTTTCAAAATTTCCATTGCAGATTTGAACTTTTCAAACTTTATAGCTACTGCTTCACGGCCTAACATCATAGCATGCAGATGATTTAGGAGTTGATTGAAATTATACCTAAGACGAAACACCCAACTTTTTACCATTTTTAGGATCTCATGCTTTTCGTAAAAAAAGCCTTGGCATTTGGGAATCACCTCTGAAACCTTCTCACGAAATCATTCAACTTCATCATCTAGTATCTTCTTTTTTAAAGCCTTAAATATTTCTCTCAAAATTCTATCCATTTTTTAATCCAACGCCCCTAAAGCTTCTGGCTTAAAAACACTGAATATTAGAAACCAATTGTAAACCAAATTTTTATACTCAAATTTAACCTTCAATTTTTTATGACATTACAGAGGTGTTATATGCAGATAAAATTGGGGAAGATTTTTATCTATTGCTATACGATCATTATTATTGAAATAATTAATTCATTGATGATTATTAATTATTATCTTCTTTAATATTTTCTTATTTCTATAATTTTTCAATTAAAATATTATTTAAAAAATTAAAGGTAAAATTAAAAGTGAGAACATGAAAAACTCAAATTATCAACTTTATCTTCTTATTTTTTTCTTTCCTTTCTTTTTTTTTTATAATTTTTTAATGAAAAATTTTTCTAAAAAAATAAAGGAAAAAATAGTAAGAGGAAAATAAAAAATTTACAAAATTCCTTTTATTACATTTTTTCTTTTTCCTATATTTTTCTATTTTTGTTTTAAAGAAAAAGTAAAAAAAAATTCTTAAAAACAAAATAAATAAATAAATAAATAAAATTATTGATGGCTAATTGAATAACAAATGCCACTCAATTAAACTCTCACTTGATCCAAAAAATTGAAATTTGGTATCAAGCAATCAATTGTTCTTATTAAGATCTCTTTTTAATAGTAAGTATATAGATTAATTATCATATTATAATAAATATATATAAAGGTGAAATACGTATTGTACAAGAAATTGGCAAATATAATTTCTAAATTTTATTATAATAATTTATTTGATTAATTATAGTAGACTAAGATAAAATAAAAAACAAAAAAGAAAATTATTAGGTCATATCAGATAATATTATTTTTGTTTGCAGGCAATCATTTGAATTATTATAAAAAAAAAAAGTTATTTGAATGGGAAGAGAGCAAAACCAAAAACAATTAAACGTCGTATAGAGATCATAGAAATTGAGAAAAAAAAAAACCAAAATCAGCCATGGGCTATGGACATGCCATCAATGAATTAGTGTAGAAAGTTCCGCGTCATAATTGTGCCAATTGCTAATTAAGGCTTTGGATTGTTATTCATTGATAATGTAATTGAATAGAGTTGAATTGATATAATTAAAAAATTTTAAGTTTGAATATTATTTAAAATTATTATTTAAAATTCAATTCAAATTCAATTGAAATTTTAATTTTTAATACGAGTTTGATTGAGAATAAAAATTAAATTATTTAAATTTATTTAATTAAATTTATTAATAAAAATTAATTTGATTTTTTTAATCGATTTCAAACTCAAATATGAGTTTAAACTCAAGTTTGAGCTCAATTATATATATATAGGTAAAATAATAATTTTTAATTAAATAATAAAAATATATTAAAATTTAAAATTTTAATTATCTTCGTAAACTATTCAAATCAGATATTATAATATTCAAATTCAGTTCATTCGATAAATCAAATTACTTAAATTTAATTTTATAATAATCAAATCAAATTTAAATTTTATTTAAATTAAATTTAAATAATCTATGAATATTAATATATCATTTACACATTTAATTATAATAGTACTCCCTCGTTCATTTGTCCATGATTGTGGGATCCCTCAGATTTTTGTATAGTTGCAGTTCAAATTTCCAAATTTCTCAACCAAGAAGAGCGATAAACCAACTATATTCAATGAATTTTCAGCCTTCACCCAATATTCCTTTCATAATTACCCCCACAAACCAATATTTACTTCCATCATTAACCCTTAAATCATAAATAATTTCAAAACTGAGGTAGCTCTAAATTGCATGAAAAAATTGATGGGAACAACTTTAATCTAATTGAATTGATTGTCTGAACAAAAATTAATCAATAATTTTTATTTTATTAAAGTCGAATTCTTTACAAAAAAAACATCGTTTTCAAGTAAATTCAAAGCTTGCAAATATAAAAAACAATGTGATTTGATTAAAAATCCAGACTATATCTGCTGTGTTTTGGGTTCTTTCAAGTGTTAATCATAATTTAAAATAAAAAAATATATAATTGAAAACGTAGCAGAATCCAAACCATATCCTGGATTTGTTTTTGATGTATAATATAATGATTTGTCTTGATTCAGAAATAATATGGGGTATCCCACAAATCTTCTTTATTAATCTCTATTTACTATTTTTTTATTAAATTTATGTATCATAAATTATTATTATGTCAAGTCAGATCAATATTTGAAAAAAAAATCTCAAAATTATAAATTATTACATAAAGAAAAATAAAAAAGATGAAGAAAGAGAATTGGGAAAGAATATAAAATAAGTGAGATTTTTTTGCGATGTGAATTTTTCTAAAAAGCAAAAGTTTTGTTTATAAATCAAAATGTCAATACGAAATTATTGCATTAAGAATATCAATTACTTCAAAATTAATAAATAGTTATATGATGTTGATTGATTTTGATTTGGTCTGGAAGTCGTTGAAGTCAGTATTTGAAGATTAGGTTACAGATTAAAAAAAATTATGTAGATAATGATTTTTTAATTATGTAAATATAAAAATAAAGTATTTAAAGATAAAATTAAATTTAAAAAATAGCTATATGATGCAATTTAAGAGAATTATTTCTTATTTTAAAATTTTATTTTGTTAACAATAAATTATTAATTTAATAATATTAAATCATTTTCAAAATTAAAAGTCATGAATCTCAATTTTAATTTTCATTTAAAAATTTTTAAAAAATTTTGTTCATTTTAAAATTCAAATTCTAACTTTTTAAATAAAACCTTAAATTTTAATTGTAGATATTCACAATCATGTTAAATTTAACAACCATAATTATCACCTATATTTTATATTTCCAACATTTTTTCTGGTTATTATAAAATATCACAATCCAAATCAGCCCTTTTGTACGCCTTTTTCTCCAGCCTTTCCTTGTCTTTTCTTACCACAAATGTCACTTTCCCAAACCAACCTCCGATTACATACCCAAAACAAATTGCTTTCAAGTTTCTCTTCATTTTGCAAAACTTCAAGAATATCCAAACAGATGAATAAAAACTAGTGGTAATTGTTTCAAAAGAAATTCTTGGCAAAAAAAAAAAAGGAATTATTAAATATGCGTTGCGGTTATGGATTGGCGGCGATCCCGGGAAGCGACGTTCGCTTCTTTACACCGGACACTTCCTTCCTCCGCTTTCGAAGAACGGCCAACCCGGTCCGGATACAATTTGGGTCGTTCAAAATCAATGCGAAAATCGATGAAGCGAGGAAGGGGACGAGTTTCTATGAGTTGCTGGGAATACCCGAGTCGGGTACTTTACTGGAGATAAAGCAGGCGTATAAACAGCTGGCTAGGAAGTACCACCCCGACGTGTCGCCCCCGGATCGGGTGGAGGAGTACACGGAGCGGTTTATACGGGTCCAGGAGGCTTATGAGACTTTGTCGGATCCGAGGAGTAGAGCGTTGTATGATAAGGACTTGGCTTTGGGGATTCATTTTGCTTTCTCTGCTAGACGACGTTGCCAATACGATGAGGTATTCTCCTTTCCTTTTAATTTTTAATTTTTTAATTCATATTAGCATTGGGTTTTTTTTTTCTTTGTTGGATGGTTTTATTGGTGTTTTGGGTTGTTTTGGTTTTGGTTTTTTATTGATGGTTGATTTTTGAATTTTTTGTACATATAAACTTTAACCCTTTTCCATTCCACTAATCTAATTTCCATATTCTAGATTTGAACATAATAACTTCAAGTTGGAATTTCAAATTCTAATCATTTGGTTGTTTATTTGGGCACTGGATTGATGATTTGGGTAGTTGGGAAAGTTCTGTAAGTCATGTGACTGCTGGGATTTGGTGGAAATTTTGTTTGTTTTGACTGTTGAAGAAAGCTAGGGTCAAATCTCTCTCTTTTCTCTTCTTTTTCTTATCATTTCTGTTGGTTAAGTTCAGTGAATTAGGTGGAATCATGGAAACTTACTTCCATTCCTAGCAATTTGGTTTCCATGAGGAAAAGGTTGTTCCTATCAAAATAATTAAAAAAAAAAAAGAAAAAAACTGTATATGCTTAGCTTCAAGAATATGAAAGTGTAAGCAGAGAATTTTATCTTCTGTGTACATTAAGACAGTTATGAGTAGCTGTGCTGTCAGTTAGAGTTCTGTTTCCTTGTTGAATCGTATCGGCTAAGTTCCTGTATAGTTTCCGGCTTATAGGGATTAAGCGATTAACTCTTATCCGTTAGATTTTTTATTGATAAGTGGAACTTTTAATATGGATTTTTCAAATACCTTTCACTTCAGTGAAGCTGGCATGTGCTAAGCTTCTTTTCTTTGCAATGATAACATCGGTTAATTGTGCATCCTTCATAGTTTTGGTACTCTTGTTTTATAGATTGTTTCTTGATTCATCATGTCCAAACATTTCACTTTGATATAACTTCTTAGTAGTCAGAGCTAACCAACAACTTGTATGCTTTAAGTCTTGGGTTCAAACCTGGGCACGTTCTATACTCTGTCAACTTGCCTTTGGTTCTTCTTTGTTGCTTTCCTTAAGAACAGGATTTTTCTGTTGTGATTTTATAATGCTAATAATGAAACCCTTGGGTATTGTTTGATCCGTTAATTATACCATGATATTCAAGTGATCTTTAATTTTTATTATGATTTTCTGAACTTTCTTCGACTTTTGGGTTGTTTTCTTTTCTCATGAAAGTTGCATCTCCTTTCAATTTTTAGCCTCTAAAGATTTGACCTACAAGGATAATAGTTTGTTTTGGGAACTGTCAAATATGCATGGTCAGTTAAGACATTCTTGCCTTCCTTTTATCCCTACTGGCCAGTTGAGAGAAATCGGTTTTGTTTGGTTTAACTTCTTACATCCTCTTTGCCACCAGGAACTAGAACAACGGAGTGAGTGGAGAAATCGTTTGCAATCTCAGCTATCAGAGCTGAAGAGAAGAAGCATGACCAGGGATGCCAGAGGAAACATGTCATGGGGAGCTCGAATGCGCAGACAAAGGGGTGAATTGTCTAAAGAATAATAAACAACTTTCCTTCTCCACTCAAACAAATATGAATGGTCTTTTGCTTATGTTTTTGGTTTTATCTCTTGTATATATGTATCATTCTACCCTTCCATAGATGGCAATTGGGTTAGCATTGCTCAAAAGAAATTTTTTTCAATGTTAATTCTAAAATCAAATGCCTCTACTATCTTTCATCACTCAATATGTACATAAATTTGTTAGAATTTGACTTGCTCAAGTTAATTTTGCTTTGTTTTCATGAATTCTGGTCTTGGAGCTTCTTTATAATTTTTATCTTATGTTGTGATGTTAGGTATGTAGCAAGGCATTATCAATTTTGTTTCTAATCTTCTGATTGTTTTTAATTATTTTTTTTCACATGTTATTGATTTATTTATTTTAGTTTTCTATTCTGGTTTTAGATAGTGAGGCATAAAAACTCCTTTTTCTAAACTCTTTTCATCACCAATATTGCAATATTACAACCATATTTGCAATTTTAAACACGAAATGTTGATACGATATAAAATTATATTAAAAAATACATAAAAATAACATGATATAAAATTATTAATAAAAATTATATATAGATTTAATAAAATAAGAAAAAATATGTATTATATTTTGCACGTCAGTATTAGTTATAATTTATAAATTTTGTATAAAAAATGATATTGATATATAAAATATTAATATACAAATTATTCATATTTTAAATAATATACTATCAGATTTAATTGCAAGTGAGAGGGCGGTGATGAAGCAATTCGGAGAAAGGCTGAACTTAGAGGAGTTTGTATTGGAAATTTGGTGACAATATCATAAATTAAATTGTCACTGAAAATACGGTCCGAGCATTTTCGTTGGCTATGTCATAAATTAAATTGTTGACTGTTTGTCGCCAAAAAAAAAAAAGCTATTGACTTTGACCAGGTCTTGCTGCTTTGCTTTTGGATAACATGAAATTTCAGTCACCAATAAATAAATTTCAAGGTATGATTTGACAGTAATAACTTTTTCCTAAAGTTGCCAAGTCTTTTTCAGATAATAATAAAGTATCCACCACTAAAGAGTCAATATTTAGTTTTTTGATTAATTATTAATTTATATTAATTAATAAGTTAATATAATAAATAAAAAAATGAAATAATATTTTAATTTTGTTTATAAAATCTAAAAACTCGATCGTTGACTTGTAAATAATAATATAATATAAATTATTCCCTCTCTTTTTGTTGTCAGAATGGTAATGCCCGAGACGCGTAAAAGTTACTATGCTTTACAAGATTTTTGGAAAAAGCGAACAAAGAAAATTTTATTTGTTTAAAAAAGTAATGAAAATAAAAAAAATACATATTAAAATATGAGAAATTAGCTGGAATCCATTGCTAAAGATGATATTTATTAAAAAAATGATAAAGTGGTCCATTGCAGTGGCCAACAACTCAACTCCATTTACTTTTTGTCGGAGAAATAATTTTTTAGGAAAAAAAACAAAGGCCTAGAAGGGGTCCTCAAATTAGGTAGAGCTTTTGTAAGTTGCGTAAAGATATTTTCTTAGGTTTCTTTTTTTTTTTTTTACTGAATTTTGACGTGGGATTAATCATGCAACTTTCTCTTCACAAACTAACAAAGTGTCAATTACTTTGAAATTCCGGTGACATAAGCAAATGTTGGTAGCATTTGGTGCGTTCCCTTGTCATAATTACAATGAAATGGGATTAGTAAGAATTAAATTGTCGAAAAGATAACATTATTAGGTTTATCATTCATGAGAAAGCATTAATTAAAATCTTGAAAAAAATGTTATTTTACTTTCTCATATATGGAAAAATATGGTATTGTTTAGTTTTAAAAAAACAAAGTTATTTTTTGTTTTTATTTTATAAAATTTAAAAAATATAAATGAAACATGTTTGATAATTGACAATCTTTATAAATTTTTAAAAAATAAAAATAAATTAAAATATGAAAACAAAAAAATATTTTCAATTATGAAACTAAGGGATGTAAATTATTTTTTTTTTATGTTTTATAAGGGACCATATTTGAACATTTTTAATGTTAGTAATTAATAATTATTTATTTATTTATTATTATTAGATACCATTAATAGTAGTCCTTCACCTCTTGGTCTTGGATAACTATTAAAGTTGCCTTGGGATATCTTCTCTCAGATGTGATCAAAAGGTGTCTTTCAATAGTTTTTGTGATGGCTCATTACGATGTACGAAAATAAAAATAAAAATAAAAATTAAAAGCATTATGTTAAAATATTTGTTGACTTTTCTTTTTTATTTGATAATTAAAACTAATTACATTTTTTATTTATTTGAATAATATTTTCCTAAAAATCATTTTAATACTCACTATTTGGAAGTAATTTTTTTTTCGTATCCTTTAAATTTTAATTTATAAGCTAAAAAATAGTCAAATCTATATATCCAACAAATTTCAGTTTAAATTATTGATAAAATATTTTGCTTAACATTTATCGATCACTTTTTCAATTTTAATTCACTCGTTTTACTGTAAAATTCCTATTTGCATTATAATATGCTATGTCATTCGTTTTATGATCACCTTAAGTTTGAATTTTTAATTGACAATTTAGCCTAATTCAAATTTATCAATAATTAATTGACAATTAAATATACAAGAGATATTTTATGCAAAAGAAAATATGTATTTACTTGAACAATACAAAAGATAAGTAGTTTAAGACATTCAGCAACAATTTTTTTCAAATAATTGTTTTTTAAACTTAATATTATTACTTAATCAAAATTTAAAATCATTGTATTTCAACTTTTATTGTAACACAATTCTACACCAAATGTGAAGGTGAGAGTGATTGAAAGGTATAAAAATTTGATAAGCTTTATAGATACTGAAAATGAAGATATTATTAAAACTCTTGTAAAAAATATGTAAGTAAGCTATTATGTACATTAATTGAGAAATTTTTTTTGTCACATCAGGAAGATAAAATCTTAATATAAGTAAGGGGAATGGGGGAAGCTTAGTTTGAAACCAGGCCATTGATATCCTCTCAAGCGCCTTTAACCACTAAGCTAAAGGATTGGAGACTAATTGAGAATATTTCACCTATAACTCTTTTTATTACAGTATTACAATTATTCAATTATAATAAATAATTATGTAAGGGTTCACCATTTATAAGTGTAGGTTACATATAAAATTTTAATGGTCTTCACACAATTCTAAATTGTAATTAATTAATTGTATTTCAATCATTGTAGATGAAATGCTCCTACATTAATTAAAGTTTCAAAAAAATTGTTGCTCTTAAATAAATAAAGTTTATCTTAAAATTATATAAATTTGATGATGTATAAAAATGACCAGACAAAATATGCAAATTGAAAATTATTAATTTAAAGTGATGAAACTTTTAGTTTTCATTTTAATATATTGTTGGTGAACTTAATAGTATTATTTATAATATCTTTTTGAATATTTTTTCTTCCTCAGATATTATTTATCATATATTTTGTATGTTGTCAAATTTTTAAATTAAAAACTTTAATTTTATTTTAATTTGATATCTTAATTAAATTGCATTTATTTTATATAAATCTTTAATATGTAAGTGATTAAATATTATTAATTTATGAAGTTACACACATTTAAATAAATAAAAATAATCTGTGTATCATATGAATAATAAACTAATTATTTAATATAAGTACATTCAATTTTGCATTTAAAAAAAAGTACATCCAATTTAAAAATTTTAACACTAATATTGAAAAAATATATATAACCATATATAAAAAGAATCCCTTAAGAGTTCTGAAGATATCATCTGTCTTTTTTTTATATAATTTTTTTTTAGATTGTTCTATCTTTGACTTTTATGCAGGGTAAAGTAGTTTTTTTGGACAATGGTTGGACTTCCTATTTCTTTATTTTTGAAGCTTTTTTTTGTTGTCTGTCTTTGTGTTTGTAGCATACTTCTTCTGGCGTGTAAGGTATCCTTTTTTTTTTCTATGAGTTTTTGCTTTCCTTTTTCTTTGGTTTTTGGTTATTTGTTTTGGAGCTGTTTTTAGGTATGATTTTTTTTCTCTTTTATTCTACTATTGAATGTGGGTTTCTGTATGCTTTTGGGTTTTATTGTCACTGTTTTCATTTTATACATTGTAATTTTTTTTATTGGAGTTTCATTGTTGAATAGGTTTTTGGGTTTTGTGGTTGAAAGTTTTGCATATTGTTGTAGATGTGTTTTTTTATAAGATTTTGTTTTTGCATGTTGTCATCTTCAATGAAATTGAATTTTTATTTTTTGTTCTTAACAGGTGTTTGTATTGTTTATTTTCAAAGCTTATTTTGGTTGTGTCTTTGTGTTTGTAACAGACCTCTTCTGTCGTGTAAGATATCCTGCTTTTTTCTGTGAGTTTTTGCCTTTCTTTTTTCTTTTTGGTTTTTGTTTTTTTTTAGATGTTTTTAGGTATGATTTTTTTTCTCTTTTATTCTGTCATTGAGTATGGGTTTCTATTTTCTTTTGGGTTTTACTGTCATTATTTTCATTTTATACATTATAATTTTTTTTAATGAAGTTTGATTATCGAATGGATTTTGGGCTTTTGTGGTTAGAGGTTTTGCATGTTGTTGTGGACGTGTTTATTTGGAAGATTTTTTTTTTTTTGCATGTTGTCATCTTGGATGAAATTGAGTTTTTGTTATTTTTTTTAATTCTTTTTTTAGTTTGAAATTTTTTTTTAAATAGTCAAGAATATGACTTTTAGGTTTTAAATGTTATTAGGAGTTATTTAAAGTTGTAGTAGGAAGTATACAGGTTTGATATGTTTTTGTTATGTGATGTTGTTGAGCATTGTGGCTGTACTTGAAATTTTCGGTATATTGTCTTCATTGTAATGTGATTTATATGTATGGTTAATGAAGAATAGTTGTTTTTAATAAAATAATCCAGTTCAGGATGTTGAAGATGGTTTAGGAAAGGTGTTATATTCATAAAATTAGTGGATAGATGTAGATTAGCTATTAGATTTATTGAGTTTGTTATTGTTAATTGAAATAATTATTAGTATTTCATGGATTTACAGGATTTATACTTGGTAATTACAGCACTGCAAGAATTTGAAATTAGAAGAGAAAATTGAAGGCTCCTATCTAAATTCCAATTTTTTTTCCCTGGATTTATAAGACATTCCTCTACTCTAGGATAATATTTCAAATAAATGTTAAGATGTTGAGCTATTTTTTTTTCTTTGCTGATTCCTCTTAATGAAATATGCCATGTTGCATTAAGTTACTTATGGATGTATGTATGTAATCTTTATATACTTTAAGCTGAACACGATTGTTTTCTCACAAAATTGCAACTATAAAGTAAATATTTAAGACTAAAATAGATGTGTTTATAAAAGGGGTAGCCAATTTCTTGGCAAAATTATGAAATCTGTATGGTATATGTCCTGTAACATTCTCTGATGAAAGAATGAAGTTT